TCCACAGCAAGGCTGGGGAGGTCTCCGGCATGGAGACCCTGGGGTGAAGGTTGATCTGATGCGCCGCGTACCGAACCGCAAACGGCCACAGAAAATGGGGGGCAGCCGCATGCATCATGGACGTACGGGCGACGTCCATGACCATGCCAATGCGGCGCTCAGCAATCCCATTTTGCTGTGGAGAGTCCGGAAGCGTGAAGGTCTGGCGGATGCCTCGTGCACGACAGTAGGCTCGCAGAAGGCCAGAGGAGAACTCTCCACCTCTGTCAGAGTGCAGACGCAGAACAGGAAAGTCCGAGCCGAAGCTCTGCCTGAGCTGGAGACGAGCTGCGCGGATCCAGTCGATCAACACCTCAGTGACATCACCCTTGCTGCGCAAGGGGAAGACTGTCGTGTAACGCGAGTAGTCGTCAACCACCAGCAGGAAGTAGCGCTCGTGACCCTGTCCACGGACGCGGGCCGGGCCCCACACGTCCATGTGAAGCGTCTGCAGCGGGGCCTCTGTCGGAGGAAACTGGGAGGAGTGAGGGGCAGCCCGCTGCCGCCCCTCGACACAGGGGACGCAGGTAGGGCCAGGCCCCGGAGGAAGGGGAGGGAGGGACCGGGGAAGACCAGAGACAAGGACACGGGAGGCCATGCCTCGGAGACGAAGCAGGGAGGGGTGACCAAGGCGGTGGTGCCAGAGGAGAGTCTCGTGAGACAGGAGGCGACACGAACAGGGGGCAGACTCAGGACCAGACCTGGACGCTGCAGCAAACAGCTGACCGGACGCAGCTACCTGACCAGATGCAGTGACTGGAGGAGACGCAGTGGTCAGTGTGTACAGGCTCAACCCCGGCCGACGTGTAAACGTGGCCAGGTGTCGGCCTGTCCGAGCGTCCGTGCAGTGGGTCACCCGCTGACTCGCAGGAGTAAACTGGTGAACCCCCGCATCCTGTAGGTCAGCACCACTCACCAAGTTCGTAGAGAACGAGGGGAGGTAAAGACCAGACAGGGTGCCAGAGGGGGCCGCCGGACACGGGAGGACAGTGGAGAACTGAGCAAGGACAGGACCCCCAGAGGGGTCTGCCAGGGAGACCGCAACCGGCCGATTGAGCGGCGTAAGCGTGGTGCGGTCTCGAAAGAAGGAGCGGGAAGCACCCGAGTCAAGAGTGAAGGTGTGTAAGGCCTGAGACGACGTGGTACCTGAGAGAGCAGACTCACCAGCACCTGGGGCAGCAGACGCACTAGCACCTAGAGCAGCAGCCTCACCAGCACCTAGAGCAGCAGCCTCAATGCCCGGGTCAGGCGGAACACACAGGTAACAGTCACCCTCATCACTAGTAGGCAATGCATACATGGCAGTGAGGATAGCATCATAGTCAAGAGTATAGATATCTACCCGCAGCCGAAGTAGCTCCACCCAGTCGGGGAGCTCAGCCGCGTCGCCAAACTCCGTACGCCAGGCGTCGCTCAGACGGGCGAAGCAGCGGGACTCTGCATGACCCAACGTCCCGCAAGGCTGACCAGTCCGAGCACCAGTGCGAATGACGTACGGACAGCGAGCAGTACCCCGTGACCCGTCACGCTGAGCGTACCACTCACGAAGCTCCTGGGGCGAAAGGACTGCTCGCGGACGACGCTGAAGCTGCACGTGGCCACTACAAGCAGCTGCCGAACTACTCACTCCAGGACGACTCCCACTACGGCCACCCCGACAACCCCAATTAGCGTACCACTCACGAAGCTGTTGGGGGGTGAGGGACTCACGCGGGCGACGCTGCAGCTGCACCTGGCCACTACAAGCAGCTGTGGAACTACTCACTCCAGGACGACTCCCACTACGGCCACCCCGACAACCCCAACTAGCGTACCACGCACGAAGCTGTTGGGGGGTGAGGGACTCACGCGGGCGACGCTGGAGCTGCATCTGGCCACGCCAGGAGCAGCAGTAGCAGTAGAAAGAGCAGCAGCAGTAAGAGCAGCAGTAACAGCAGTACGGGCAGGGCAGTGCTCACCAGTGGCGAGAAGGGCAGGCGTACGACGGCGGCAACGGCGAAGCCGCTACCACTGTAGAGCGAGAGCTCCGCGGCAGCTGCAGGGGTGGCTGCTCCAGGGGCGGCAGTTGTAGGGGCGACTGCTCCAGGGGCGGCTGCTGCAGTGGCGGCTGCTCCGGGGGCGGCTGCTGCAGTGGCGGCTGCTCCAGGGGCGGCTGCTCCAGGGGCGGCTGCTGCAGTGGCGGCTGCTCCAGGGGCGGCTGCTGCAGTGGCGGCTGCTGCAGTGGCGGCTGCTCCAGGGGCGGCTCGGCTGCTGGGCGACTCGGCGGCTCAGCTGCTGGGCGGCTCGGCGGCTCGGCTGCTCGCTAGGGGCGGCGACGGGGCCGGGTAGGGGCAGCGACGGGGCCGCTAGGGGCGGGGAGCGGCGACGGGGCCGCTAGGGGCGGCGACGGGGCCGCGTAGGGGCGGCTACGAGGCCGCGTAGGGGCGGCGACGGGGCCGCGTAGGGAGGGAAGCAGCGACGGGGCCGCTAGGGGCGGCGACGGGGCCGCGTAGGGGCGGCTACGAGGCCGCGTAGGGGCGGCGGCGGGGCCGCGTAGGGAGGGAGGCGGCGACGGGGCCGCTAGGGGCGGCGACGGGGCCGCGTAGGGGCGGCGACAGGGCCGCGTAGGGAGGGAGGAGGCGACGGGGCCGTTAGGGGCGGCGACGGGGCCGCGTAGGGGCGGCGACGGGGCCGCTAGGGGCGGCGACGGGGCCGCGTAGGGGCGGCGACGGGGCCGCGTAGGGAGGGGAGCGGCGACGGGGCCGCTAGGGGCGGCGACGGGGCCGCGTAAGGGCGGCGACGGGGCCGCGTAGGGGCGGCTACGGGGCCGCGTAGGGAGGGGAGCGGCGACGGGGCCGCTAGGGGCGACGACGGGGCCGCTAGGGGCGGCAACGGAGCCGCGTAGGGGCGGCGACGGGGCCGCGTAGGGGCGGCGACGGGGCCGCGTAGGGAGGGGAGCGGCTACGGGGCCGCTAGGGGCGGCGACGGGGCCGCGTAGGGGCGGCGACGGGGCCGCTAGGGGCGGCGACGGGGCCGCGTAGGGGGGGAGGCGGCAACGGGGCCGCTAAGGGCGGCGACAGGGCCGCTAGGGGCGGCTACGGGGCCGCGTAGGGGCGGCAATGGGGCCGCTAGGGGCCGCAAGGGGCCTGGAAGGGCGGCAACGGGGCCGCTAGGGGCGGCGACGGGGCCGCTAAGGGTGGCGCGAGGGGCCGTGAGAGGGGCCTCTAAGAGAGCTCGACAGAAGGGCGGCCCACAAGGCGCGCCTCGGGCAGGAGCGACTGTCGCTCCGGTCAGAAAAAAAAAAAGGTTTCAGTGGTGGGCCCAAGGAAGCGTTCCCACTAGGGAACCTGCTCTATACCATGTGAAGAAATGAGGAATGAATTGACTAAGGAAAAGTTGGGTACAAAAGCAAACCCTAGAAAACTGTACCCCATATGTGCTACCCCACTATAGCCTACAGTAGCTATGTCATATAAATCTGACAAGAACTCCAACATATTTTCTGGAACTGTTTACTAGTTCGCGAGTCCATATGTCATGTAATGTAGATACATCCGATGGTCTTGTTAACGGCACTCCTGACATAGTTGTTCATTTTACTCAAAATAACCAACGTGTGGTGGAAATCATATGGGTTCAATTTGATGACGATCAAGTCGGGCGTAACATTCGTCAAAGATCCGAATTATTGGTCTCCAAAGTTATTGGAGTCAAACAAACTTGGACACCTATGCAACGTATTGAGAAATCATTTTCTGTCAACTCTCGATACGATATGATATCTCGAATGCAGTTTCCGTTACGACCAAGTAATGCGATTAGCTTCCATCGAAATCAAGGCGCGGGGTGAAATCCCGGCCCTGTGGATGCTTTGTTGGTTAGCGGAATGACGGCGCGTGGCGGTTGCGCTTCGGACTGGAAGTTGAGTCGTTGCGGGGTAAGGGGTGAAATCCTAATCCTGGTGACTGCTGCTTGGGTCGGTTTTAATGATGTGCCAAGGGGTGAAATCCGGCCTTGTGGAATTCCCTTGGGTGAAATACTGCCATGATGTTGGCGGTTTGCAGATGGAAGTTGACCAGGAGTGAAATCCAAAGCTCTGGCGGTTGTAGATGGAAGTTGACGCGATTCGGTTCAGGAGTGAAACCCGATGCTCTGGCAGTTGCAGTTGCAGCAGTGTGGTGGTGCATGAACGGTCGGGCAATTTGGTCTCACTTGGCTATAATTGACGATCGACCTTCTTGGTTGACTCGTTGCCCAATTGTTGCAGTGTCTTCTCCAGCGATTAGTTACGTCGGGGTCGTATGACGATTGATCTTGTTGGGTGCAAATATTTATTTTTGCACGTCAACCAGCCGCCTGTGTCGCATTTTTCATATTTGTGTGTGTGCGCATTTTTTCATTTTCATTTTGTGAACGTTCTGTGCGCATTTGTTCTTGCGTTTTGTTCGTTTTTATTCATAAGTGCATTTTGTGTTTTTGCTTTTTCAGTTTCGTTTTCACTGTTCTCATGAAGCTCCCATGAAGCTCCCATGAGGGTGCTGGCCTCTGAAGTGCTGGCGCCTTGCATGCTCGTCTAGGCAGCTGGCAAATATGGAGATGGTGCCAAGCATTGGACGCTGGCGTCTAGCGTTCTGAGCGTCGAGGTGCTCGCGCCCAAGCCTCGTGAATGGGAAATGCAATGCAGGAATAAGCTAACGAGAAATGCATGTGCGTGGTGGACGTCAATTGCATGCAGCGGAAAATTTGCAAATATCGCAGGATCGTGAGCATTAATTGATCCCCACAATCAAATTGGCAGTTCGATTGACGAAACATTGCGCCCACGTTCTTGTAACACTTACACCTGAGTTTTCGTATAGATGTTCCTCAACCGAGAATTGGTTACTTGTCTGCGACACAGGCACAAAAAATTATGCGTCGCCCAAACACACATGCGACCGTCGCAACCCATAGAGTGTAACTGTGCGACTCTCGCTATATAATTATCGTTTGTCTGCACACATGTATTGGCGGGGGGGGGGCCGGGCGCTGGCGGCGGGGGGCGGGGCCGGGCGCGGGCGGCGGGGGGCGGGGCCGGGCGCGGGCGGCGGGGGGCGGGGCCGGGCGCGGGCGGCGGGGGGCGGGGCCGGGCGCGGGCGGCGGGGGGCGGGGCCGGGCGCGGGCGGCGGGGGGCGGGGGCGGGCGCGGGCGGCGGGGGCCGGGGGCGGGCGGGGGCCGGGGGCGGGCGCCGGCGCCGGGGGCCGGGGGCGGGCGCCGGCGCCGGGGGGCGGGGGCGGGCGCGGGCGCCGGGGGGCGGGGGCGGGCGCGGGCGCCGGGGGGCGGGGGCGGGCGCGGGCGCCGGGGGGATGACCTAACACCCTGCCTAGGTCCGGTTGTCCCACCACTGATCTTAGCCGTTCAGTCCCTAACTCAAGGGGATCCCTCACTGTGGGAATATGGTTCACCGTGTATCTGGACTTGCACCGGTCAACTCTTGTTAGGTGCACACTGGAAGCGATTGCAAAATCTTTTATATTATCAACATGGAGATACAAAGTAGCAGCGGAAAGCGAACCATTAATTGGGAACGTACGGTAGATCCGCTGGTCGTACACGCTCTTAACCCAACTGCCGTAACTGGTCGCTGAGCGCCCTTGGTCGTCGAACATGACTTCTCCTTCCTCGATTTCATAATCGGAGAGGAGGTCTGCGTGACCTCCAAGTTCGGCAGTGTCGACTAGTTTGATGCTGAACCCAAATTTTTGCTTGAAGAAATTGGCGATGCAATTGAAGAATGATTTCTTGGTCGAGTTTCTTCACTTCTTATAGGGCTCCGGCCTCTGGGCCGCTCTCCAGCTCCTGTCAGTTAAGAAGAGGTTCGCCCAAGGGTCGTTTGGAGGTTGCGGCTTGGGTAGTTGGTGCATGGCGGCTCGGACGGTTGTGTCTCGGGCTGGAAGATGTAGCGTTGCAGGGCGAAGGGTGAAATCCTGATCCTGTAGACGTTTTGTCGGTTAATGTAAAACGGCTCGTGGCGGTTGCGCTTCGGGCTGGAGTTGCTGCGGGGTAAGGGGTGAAAGCCTAATCTCGGCGATGACTGTCTTGTCGTTTAGTAGATCGGCCGGTCTGGGGCGGTTGCGCCTCGGACTGAAAGATGAGACGTTGCGGGATGAGGGGTGAAATCCTAACCCTGGTGATGTCTTGTCGGTTTTGACGATGTGCCATGGGGTGATTCCCATACTCGTCTTCTCCTGAGGGTTGAGATGCTAGGCCAAGGGTGAAATCCGGCCTTGTGGAATTCCCTTTGGTGAAATGCTGCCACGATGTTGGCGGTTGCAGATGAGAGTTGGAGCGACTCGGCCGCCAGATCAGGAGTGAAACCCTATGCTCTGGCAGTTGCAGTTGCAGTCGGAGGTTTAGCATGCCTCGGGAAGTTGCGGCTTGGCCAGTTGGTCTTGGCTTGGCTGTAGATGGCTGTTTGTCTTCTGATGACAGTATGGACCATGATGGGTATTGGTGCATGAACGGTTGGGCGGTTTGGTCTCGCTCGGCTGTAATTGACGATCAACCTTCTTGGTTGATTCTTGACCCGGTTGTTGCAGTTATCTTCCCCGGCGGTTTGTCGTTTCGGGGTCGTATGGCGGAGGTGTGTGTTGACTCGCTCTCCTTCTCCGACTATATCCGGTCTCTTCAGCCAATTGTCACGTATGCTAGCGATTTCGAACTTGATCACCCGAATTTGTCAATATCCGTCCGGTCACGTCTCCAAGTTACACCTGGATTTGAAGAAGCGGTCGGTTGTCTCTTGGCTCCTACTCTTGTTCCGTACTGGGAATTCTCCAACTGTTGAGGAGCGGGCTTCGTCGCTCGTCAGGGGCTAATCTTTCTCGAATGGAACCTTCCTTGTCAATGACGTCGGTTGTCCCCCCGAGTAGATCCGACTGCCTCCTGGCAGCGGTGATGCAAGGTCGGACGTTCGGGACGATGAAGTGACGCCCGACCCGAGGACCCTCTTACTGGCGGGATCCTTCTGACTCTTCTCATTTGTTAGGAGAAAAGTCAACCGTCATGAACGAGGGAAGGACATTTCGACTAAAGGCGTTGACGTTTCGGTGAGAAGCGCCCGCCTTATACTGTATCTCGAAGTCGAACTCTTGCAGAAGAAGGCTCCAACGGGCGAGCTTCCCTGTGAGGTCCCAGGATTCATGAGCCAGGTGAGTGCCTGGTGGTCGGTCTGGATGGTGAACAGACAACCGTAGAGATACGGTCGGAAGTGCTTGACGGCCCATAGAACGGCCAAGCATTCTCCGTGCGTTGGAGCGTGGTTGGTTTCGGCCCCTCGGGTGGCTCGGCTTGCATATGCGACCACGTGTTCCAGGTTCCGGTCGTCGCGTTGAGCGAGAATGGCGCCCAATTCTTCGGCAGAGAAGTCAGTATGGAGTATGAAGGGCTTGGTGAAGTCGGGGTAGACGATGATCGGCGTGCTGGTCAGGGCGTTCTTAAGCTTGTCAAACGCTTCCTTGCAGTCGTCGGTCCATTCGAACACCGCGTCTTTCTTGAGCAGTTGGTTGATGGGGTTGGCAATCTTGGAAAACCCTCGGGTAAATCGTCGGTAATATGAAGCGAGGCCGAGGAATCCGCGGACCTGCTTCACCGTCTCTGGCTGCGGCCAGTCCTGAACGGCTCGAATCTTCTCTGGGTCGGGTGCCACTCTGTCCCGGCTGATGATGTGCCCCAAAGATGGTGTCTTATCGAACCCGAAAATGCATTTATTGATCTTGAGCAGGAGAGAGTGCTCCTGGATTCGGCGCATAGCGAGCTTGATATGGCCGAGGTGCTCCTCCCAGGTAGTCGACCAGATGACCGAGTCCTCCAAATAAGCGATAATGAACGGTAGGTCACGGAAGACTCCCATGATGAATTGCTGCCAGGTAGCAGGCGCGTTCTTGAGTCAGAATGGCATACAAGTGAACTCGTAGAGCCCAGTCGGTGTGACAAATGCCGTCTTGGGGATGTCTTGTTCGGCTACCGCGATGTTGTAGTAAGCCGACATGATGTCCATGATCGTAAATTATCGTGCCCCTCGAAGCCTATCCAGGATCTCATCGATCCTTGGGAGGGGAAACCGATCCGCGCTCTTAGTGATCGCATTCAGCTTCTGGTAGTCGATGACGACCCTGATCCTGAAATCCTTCTTTGGTATAACGAGGCAAGGGGCGGCCCACGGGCTATGTGATGGCCGGATGACCCCTTGCTCCAGGAGGGTACGGACCTCTTTCTCAATCAGCTCCCTTTCTGTTGGGGCTGCTCGGTAGGGCTTATGTGCTATCGGGTTTTCAGTGGTGGTCTCGAAGTGCAGCTGTAGGTCGGGGTAGAGTCCTATCTGCTCCGCCTTGGTTGCAAAGATTGGCTGGAATTCGGTTAGCAGCTCCTTGAGCTGTCCTTTCTGCCCTGAATTCAGCTCTGGTCCGACCGGTGCTGGGATGTCGGGGTGAACCGTCTCATGGTGCTGGGCCTTGAGTCTTGAGGGCATAATAGCTGTCGAGCAGGATCGTATTGGAGTCGTCCTGTCTCGTGTTATCATCGGGATCGTCAGGGTAATCCATATACTCGTAGTCCCAATCAGCCTCAGAAGCATCGGACCCTGAATCAGAAGCCTCGTTGTCATCCAGGTGCTCCAAAGCCATGAACTGGGAATGACTGTCGGTCGTTTTTCCGTAGACGATCGGCATGGTCTCGACCTCCTGTGGGTTGAGCTGATACGTGAGGGTTTTATCGCCGAAGTTGATGGAAGCTCCGGCGGGCACCAACCAGTCGTTGCCAAGGAGCATGTCGTAGCTAATTGCTCCGGTCACCGGTACGTTGATGGGAAGGGTCAACGACCCCACTTGAATCGGGACGTTGCGGAGGACGCCCCATGGCTTGGATTTGTCCCCACTCGATGTCATGAACTCGATGTTGCATTTATCTAGATAGTCGAGCAATTCGAGCCGTCGAACCATCACGTGGGACAAGGTCGTGGTCGATGCTCCGGAGTCGACTATCGCTGTGATGTTGTGCCGGCCTATCTGCACCGGGCACTGGACGACTGAATACGAAGCCATACTCAGCTTTGGGACCTCTTTCTGCACCGCGTACGATGGCTGAGCGTATACATTAGTAGCCATCGGGGTGCTAGATGATGTTCCGAAAACCGGAGGTGTTGTTGCATCGTCGGGTAGTGTCGGAACCTCACCACCTCCCTGCTGCTCTCTCTGTCTGACTCCTGTCCTTGCTGGTCTCTCCTCCCTTGTCTCCCAGGACTGCACTTGTTACCCCTTCCTTGGATCTCACCCCTTCCTTTCACTCTTAACCGGAACCTCTCTTGCACTCGTCAGCCTTGCTGATTTATCTCCTCCTGTGGCCTCTGCCTGCCCTCTCTCTTCCCCTTTTCCCTCTTCTCTGGTACTGCTCCTTGTACTGAACTCACTCTGATAAGCCCTCAGCTCCTTCACATCATGCACTACTCTAGCTGCTAGTTAGATCTTAGCTTGTAATATCTCCTTCCCCTCACTACTTTCTCTATGTGATGCAAGAATATCGTGTTACAAAGGAAACATACAAGCATTGAGGATAGCTACCACAAGGTACCTCCTATCTACCAGATCGGCCTCCGCCTCGCTTGTCCTGCCTACCCTTGCCTGTCCTCAGAAGCTAACGCGACCTTGGAACAGACTTGCAACCTTCCTGCCAACTGCCTCTGTTGCCCGCCTCCAGCTTCTGTCCCTCCAGCTGCCACTGTGCTGTTCCAGCTGGCTCCTTGGAGCACACCTGCACACATACGAAAACAAACACACATGCATGCGAGCACCCATCCGAGCTGATGTGGTAACCTGCTGGCCCTGCCGCTGCCAAGCGCTGTAGTTTCAGCCCTTGCCCACCTCCCACTTACGTAAGTCCCGCCCTGTTCGCTTCCCATGCATTTCCCCAACCCTTCGCTTCGGCAGACGTCAACCTCCCTCGCACCCACTTGTCTCCCTGCAAACCTCAAACCCCCCCACCTTGACCCTTCGCATCCCATCCTCAGCACTGCCCTCCTCGCTATGTACAGTATATACAATTTAAACACCTCCCAATCTCTCCTCACTATCCCGCTCACATTCACATAAATGTGACAGTAGCGTCTGCAGCACCTCGATCAGCTCCTTGCGAGCACGAGAGCAATCGCTCAGGTAGTTCCAAAGACTGATGTCTGCCTTGGTTTTCTTCAATTGTTCGATGGGAAGATATCGGGTGGTCGGGTTGCTCTCATGGGGTGACCTGGTAGGTTGGCGAGTTAAGGCGATCGATCTCTATGAGAACGAAAGTAGACTTGGGAAACCGCGGGCTGGGTAGCTTTCAAAGGGATTGGCGATGAAGGAATTGACGTTGAAAGAATTGGCGATGAAGAAATCGACAATGCAATTGAAGAATGACTTCCGGGTTGAGCCATCCCTTCTTATAGGACTCTATTCTCTCCCGCTGGGGTCGTGTCGGTTGGGTTCGGGTTGCTCACGAGTCGTTCGGAGGTTGCGGCTTGGGAAGTTGGTGCATGGCGGCTCGGACGGTTATGTCTCAGGTTGTAAAATGAAGTGTCGTTGGGCAAGGGGTGAAAGCCTTATCCTGGCGATGGCGATTCGGGGCGGTTACGTCT